TTCAAAAACTTAAAAATATTTGTTATATATTTAAATATTAATATATATGAGTAGGGTTGTCCCCGTATTTTTCAATTTTTTCCAAAATTTATCATTAAAAAGTAAGAAAAAATGTAGCTTTCCGTTTGTTTTTTTTATGAATCAGCGATTACTTACTACTTACACATACGCACATAATACTATATCTGCATACAATTGAACATAACATTACAGTCGTAGACTTGTGTTCAAATCTTCCACTACATCTAGGTTACGTAAACAGTTATATAATTTTGGACATTATTTTCATTTCTTCATTGTCGGTAACTACGAATAAAATAAGCGCAACAAGACGTCCTCAAAAACTTCTAAATAGCATGAAAAGAATGTCACGTAATATGTATTATAGCAGATACAATACATTTTTAACCTACTTATGGGTACAAACATATTTGCAAGCGGTTACATTTGTTGGAGGGTTTTAAGAGTATAACAATTGTAGTTGTTAAGTACGACAGACAGCCTGTAAGCCGTTTACTCGAAAAGTAGTCATTTTATATATAGTATACATATGTGAAATGTACATACACATGCATATAAACTATACATACTAACATTGATATTGAGTTGTTTTCAGGCAGCCTTTCTTGTCGGTTGTCAACAAAAGTTTTTCAATTTGATTATATCAACACCAACAAGAATCTAACTGAAAACTATTATTTTCCATGTTTTGGGCATAAACAGTTATTCAGCGTAGCACTTACAACAACAATATTTTTTATATGAATAATATTTTGTTGCTTATGTTTTGGCATTCACGTCCATAGAAATGGGTTAGCATTGATTTTCTATTTAATGTTACACAAAACGTACAAAAATTTATATGCGCCTAAGTCCTCATCTATTTGATGAATCTTATAAATATATATCTAAAAACATCACTATAATTAATATAACTTTCGTTGGTAAAAAGTCAGACCTATTTTGAGATTTTGAGTAATATTGATTTTCCGAATTAATAAATCTGACTGATCCAGATCCAAAACAATAAATATTACTTTATTCCAATTAGGTGAATTTCCACTGTTCTACTGCTGGAAGGGTTAAAATGGAGCAATACATACCTTTTATGCTCGCCTCAACATTTTTCTGGTTTTGAGTAGTTGTCAACGTTGTATGGAGGAGGGTGAGGTGGAAACGTCCAGGCACTTTCTCCTCCATGGTCCAGCCTTTGCAAGACTGAGGCTGAAACATCTCGGTAGTCTTAGCTTCGGCGGACCAGAAGGCATAGCCGAAACTTAACGTCAGTTTCGGCAATGTCTTCTGGTCTCAACAAATTTGTGATTGGCTCAAAGCGCTTTATCGATTTATAAGGGTCCGATGAATTATTATATAAGAGTTTTAGGTACCACAACGGACCGGCGTTCTAAGCTGTCTAAGTGAGATCCCTGTTAGTATCGATCTCTTAACCTAACCTGACCATTTTTGTGAGAAAAATTTACCACGCTTTAGAGAATTACACACGGAATTAAATTAAATTTATTAAAGTACCCAAAACCTTTACTTTTAAAAATTTCAAATTGAACGAATATAAAACCGACAATATTCATAAATATACATAATAATTTGCACCCCAAAAATAGATACATTTACAAATAATAAAAGTCCAAAACAAGTTAGTAAGGGAAACAAATGGTGGATAAATTTTTAATAGTCATGTGCTGCAAACATGAAACTATCAAACGATTAGTCATACGACAACAACATCGTTATGCACTATATACACATACATACAAGTACTTATCAATATTAAGAACAACAACATCAACGGCATTGGGTGTTACGTGACAACCTAAAACGACTACATATACCACTTGCTAGGCCCTTAATACATATTCATATAGAAAAGTGGTCACAACGCCAACTCCACTCGCAGTTGCAGCACAAAGTTTTGGTTAACCCCAATCACCACACTAGTGTTCAATCTAATTACAGCTGTCTGAAACTAATGTATTCCTCATATATACAAGTATAATATAAGTACATATATGGTATACGTACTCTTTTACTACACTGAATATTAGACAACTTTAGCCAAGCAACCCCACAAACAAACACTTTTCCAAGCAATCGATCGATTTAATGCGTGCGAATATATCGCAGGCAACAAATAAATATATGTATGCGTGTTACTATGCAGATATTACTTATGCATGTTTGATTTCGATTATTGGGGAGCTTCCCAAACTCAAATTCTTTAATATTTTTTGTTTGCAATAGAGGCTCTGTAGGAAAAAATTGTTATGGTATTAAACAAATTCACAGGGGTGTGATATTTCTGAAGTTTTTGGTGAACATGCTCTAGCTAAGCCACATGCCAAAAGTGATTTATGTAATTTAGAAGTTGTGATTTTCGCTTGGAAGACGTAGAACGTCCTTGGCCGCTAAAAAAATTTGAAGATGAGAAACTTGAAGCATTACTCGATGAATATTGTTGTAAAATACAAGAAGAGCTCGCAGAATCAGTGGTAGTCACTCAAGCTGCCGTTTAAAGGCAGCCGGATACATTTAGAAGCAAGGCAATTGGTGCTACATGATATGAAGCCAAGATTCGTTGAAAGATGATTTTGTATGTCCGAAATGCTACTTGCAGTTACAAAAAGAAGTAGTTTTTGCATCGGATTGTGACGGGTGACAAAAGGATTCATTACAACAACCCTAAATGCAAAAGATCATATGTTAAAAATGACCAAACAGCCAAATCAATGGAAAAGCCAAATATCCATATTTGATCGCGTCAGAAGATAGTGCTGTAGAATGACGCTGCCGACAACAGTTTCAAATTAAAGCGAACCAGAAAGCCAGGGAATCAAAAATTGGTTTGATTCATCCTATAGATGGAATCCACAAACTGCCAGATAGATATGCAAATGTTATAGTTTTAGATTGGCAATACTTTGAATAGCACTACTGCGTATTTTTTTGTTAAATAAAATATTTGAAAAATTCTATCTTAGGGCATACTAGAAATTTTTTCTTTGGCAATGCCTAGTTTCTACCGTTCAATTTGTTTGGGTTAAAATCCAAAGCATTGAAAAGGTTTCATATTCAAAACGAAATTTCTATATCGAAATCTAAGGTTTAAAAAAATATATAAGAGAAAGAATATAATGTATTTTTAAACTCAGCTAAGTAACTTGAATGTATAGAATAAACCTACAACGCTGCTTTTTGTTGTTAAAATTTTTATTGGTACTGTGATAATGATACTATTTTAAAGTTTACCATAGAAAGAGTAGGAGCGACCTGGCATTGAGATGCTCAACTAAAATTATTTTTAGAAGATTTTTAAAGATATTGTATTATCACTGCGACATTGTTAACAAATAACAGTCTTATAATTTATTAAAAATACTGAAGGGGGAAATTTATTTATAGCCGAAGGGAAACAATTTTATTCATACTTTAATCTCCAACTGTAATCACTGGATGTTCACTAAAACTGCCCACAATGTTGTTTTCAAGCATTGTTTCTACGCTTGTGGCGTCAGAATTATCGTGTGAAATAAATAAAGTTATCATGATTCGCATGCAATTTTGCAATTTATTTCACTTAGCATTGTCAATTTTTTTTTTTGCGAAATTACTAGTAAAATGAAAAGTTTATTGTGTGGAAACGTTATTTATGAGTATACTTTTCAAGTTGTTAGTAGAGCATGACAAATAGAGCGTTAGTGAAGGTAGGCAGTTCGTGAATATAGAAAATTATAGATAAAATAGAGAACCTACGATGGCATAATAAATTTAGAGAAGGGTATAAACTATACTCCATAAAAACTATCCAAATATTCTCACTATTTCCACGTAAAAATTTTCAAATTATTTATAACCTCTCTTCAGTAGAATACAGTTATCGCAATGAAACAAGTAATGATTGAAGAACAGCTGTAATTATCTCGAGATATCCAAGAAATTTAATTCGCTCTCAAAACTTAAAGAGACTGAACTCAGGTACTTATCCAAACATAGCTCTATTACGCTTTATATTTTCGTTGAATACTAGCGAAAAACTCTCTCTCGATAACCAACCTCAATTTTTAATTTGGACTCTTTGGATTTGACTAACTGCTGCAACCATCACAATTGAAGTTGAGTAGCGGCCATCATTGTAAAAGTGGTTAAATTCTTATTTTTTAAATTGCAAAAATAGTTTTTTTACGAAAATTGAGAATTTTATGAGCGATAATTATCTAGTTTTCGAATTTGGAGGAGATATTTCAAATGAGTAGAGTAAGTTCTTGAGGTATTCTAATAAAATAATAGTTATAATATATAATACACATTTTTTAATATAGCGAACGATATTTTTTATCCTCCTTATCTGTTTTCTATACGTTTAGCTTCGTGTTGACTATATAAGTAACCTTTTTTTATAGATACAGTTATATTTTATTATAATTATTACACAACCACAATCAATTTTTTATCGTAAACAATAAATGCAATGTATCGAACGTAAAGTGATTGTTTCGATGGTTATCTGTCAAATTGAAGCCGTCTGACAGTTTAATAAGCTTTATGATAAATCATAACTGACAGTTGCGTGTGCTAAACCTCAAGCTGTCAAACAATCAATATATTGATTGTAATACAAGTTATTCGCACAAATATAAAGTAAAGCCCAATTATATTACTTTTATATACAGAGAATGTATCTATAAACGTTGATGCTTATCAATAACTCGCAATATTGAACGCTAAACAAGCATTATATATTAACATGTATGTGCAGTATATAGCCACTGTAAGCTCACCAAGTAAAAAGCATTAAAAAACCTTCAAAATTTGCTCAAAAACTTTTTGCGTAACCCTTACATGCTTGGAAACCTACCAAATTCTGCGAAAAAAAACTTTTTTATGTATGCTTTTCATATGTCCTAAGTATGTGTGGTTACCGCACATACACCCCCATAACCCTCCAAAAAGCACAATCAAACTTATTCTTCTATTATAGTACTTACCCCAACTGCCTCCTGTTCGTCCAAGGCATTGGCTAGTTTCACTGTTCCATATGAATTTTTTGAAACCCTCCCATTTGCCCATCTTTGGCGGTGGTGAATAGTATTGCTCTGCTATCTTCTTGTCGGCCATTTTTGCTGTCTTGTGCTTTTTTAGGTTAAGCTGTTAGTGAAGTTGTTGCTTTTGGTTTATTTTCTACTGCTTTTTCTTCGGCTGCTTCTTCGACGGTTCCTAACTTTTACTGCTATAGTTGCTCGACTTCTGTTGTCTTTTATTTATTGTTGTAACTGTCTTGTCGATTCGATGACTGATCTGGCTTAGCAGTTGAGAGGGTTTCTTATTATTTAATTTTATACACTTATTTTTTGTAGTATGCAAATGTTTTTAACTTTTATTTTAATTTATTTTCTTCTAGTTCTTTGTGTCGCCTATTTTTGTTGGTAATATTTAAAGTTTATCAATTATGTCATTGAAATAATTCTATATAGGATTATTTAATATTTAACTTTTTGATTAGTAAACTTGTTTTTTCGTATAACAATAAGCAGTTTTATTGTTTTTCTGTTTTTATTGGTTTTAGCTTTAACTTTTCTTATTTTACGGAAATATTTATAATTTATTTAAAATTTTTATGAAATTTTCTTTTATCTCTTAATCAACTGGGTCGAAACATTTTTATTGTTTTCTATTTTTGTTATTTTCACTGGTATGTTAGTCTTAGAATATTTTCTAAATATAAGTTTTCACTGTGTATGCTGCGATTTGGCTATTGCAATTCGTTAATTTTGAATATCAATGCTGTTTCCACCTATAGGATTATAAAGTTTCTTTGTTAGTTGAGTTGTGCGTACTATCATCAGCTCAGTGTTTGTGCGTGTGTTAATTAAGGTTGTTATGTAAAGTGTAGTGACTGTTACTTTTTCACCAAATACAAAGCATTACTTCACTCACACCGAGAGCTTTCACTTACACTCATAAGATGCCCGCACTCCTCTATATTTAGCTTTATTTAAGACCTTTACCATTACTTCTACATTTAATAAGGTAATTCATTCACTGGCGCTGAGAGCTTTCACTCACACTATGTGTTAGCCACACTCTTCCAAATTTATTTAGCTTTCATTAAGTCTTAACCAATTTACACATTTAAAATTACTTCTTAATTTAATACCAACTTTCATTCTTTAGCAAATAATCATATCAAAAGCTTTCAGGCAAATCGCAAACTTTTACAAAACTTATCGACTTTTCACAACGTTAGCTTTCGTTTTACATTTACAGTACGAAACAGTTTAAGTTGTAGAGAGTTTAAGTTTAAGTAGTTCAATATGTTTTCAGTTAAGTTTTGAAAAAGCTTCCAAAATTTCTCCGTCAAAGTATTATATACCATAAGCTTAGTACTATTGCTTTCTGATAATTTATAAAAAAGTTCGGTTGAAACAGCTTCTAAGATTTCTACGACAAGGTATTGTATAAGATTGATACTAATTCTTTCTGATTTTTACAATCATAGAAAACTTTTACTTTCTCTACTAGGTACCGTAGAAGTTTAAAAAAAAAACTACTTTTTCTTGACATCTACCTTGTAATAACATCTCCCAAAAAGCATCATTTTTTCTTTCTAATAGTCAAAACTGTTGAGAATTCGCCGAACAGCGAAGTAACAAAATTTTTTAAATAATCAGAAAGTTGATAAATAGACAGATAAGAGGAGGGATTAGGCATAGATCATATGGTAATAAAGGATTTCCGCTTAACTCGGCAAACTCGGAAGAAAGTAAACAAACTTGATGGTCTAAACCTCACTAAAGTGGAGTATTTTTAAGAAGCTTTAAATCAACTCCAAGAACTAATGCAGAAAACAGATTCTGAATGATTACTGGTTCTTCGTTAGTCATTTGGCTCCTTAAGTTCAAGTCGTGCCCAAATACTACGTTACTATGATTTTCTAAATTGTAAAAAAGTAGAAATATCTAATACTCGTTTTAAATTAATTTTTGAGAATCACTAAATTTTCATTTTTCATTACATTGTTTCTTGCCAAACTCATGAGTTTCAATGTCAACTTTGACTTTTAAGAAATAGAATTTCGTTGCCAACTTACATAAATTATAAAGGCATATTCTCAAAACTTGTACTAGGCACTTGAGAACAAGCCTCCAGGAATCATATAACGTCTCAATACTTCAAAATTTTCGCTCCCATATTAGATGACACATATACATACATACTGACACATACATGTTCGATTGCCGCTATACACGACCATGAGTTCCACCCCAAACCATTATTATTACTTTTTTTTTCTTTAAACTAAAGTAACGTTCTTTAAATTTTCCTTACACCAAACTTTTTACACAATCAAAGGAATTTTAATAAAAAATAATTCAACTAACTTTACTACCGCTGCTGCGCCGCTACCATTGCTACCCTCAATAAAATAACTGCCACTACTAAGCAACTAACGGACTGACGCTACTGCTGCTGTTGTCACACACAGAAATTACGATTATGTAACAGTGCACACCGTGTAAGAGGCCGCAAAGAAAAACGCTGAAAATTTTTCCACACCAACAACGAACGCCATAAACGATGGGAGATCGAGAAAGAGCATGGTCACGAGTCATATACACGAATTGTAAGAAATGCCGTATATGGCGAAAGCAATCGTGTCTCTCGATTCACCAAAAGCTACAACACTGGTTTCATAAGCAACCACAATGCAAAGGGATAAATTCTGGAATAAGGAAAATGTACTAAAAAATACTCAAAGAAAGAGCTTAAGAAAAGAGCTAGTTGTAAAAACTAATAATGGCTGAAATGAGAATAAATGGTGTGTGTACTAAAATGCCAGAAGCAAATCTGTGCACAATTGTGAGAGAAAAATGAAGGACGAAGGATATGAAAAAAATAATATAATGGAAAACTGGAAAACAAGTGTTGGAAGCAAGTCGAGCAAAGTAGCATAAAAAATGATGTGGTAAAATCTGTGCAGACCAAGAATGCTGTAATATACTTATTTGCATCTGTACATATATTCGTTTGTGGTTATAGTATATTTTAAAAGTTGCAAATTATTTGTGCTGGAGAACAACAAATCGCCAATGTTATTAAGTTATTATTTTTGGCATGCCATATTTTAGACTATTTATTATAGTTACCTAGGCAAAGTATTTGTGAAAATCAAAACAATGGCCAAGACCCATCAAAGCGCTAGTTAATCGCCACCCAAAACTTATTGTTTCATAATATAAGTTAAGAAAGAATTAAAAACATATGTTTTTTCATGGTGCAATACTTCCGATTAAATTACCCCTTTTTGCTTTAAAATTTATACAGAGGGATGTGATAAAAACAATTTCCCATGTGTCTTTTTGGGCAAACAATTTATTCAAAAACAACAAAATAAGTGAAAATTTGAAACAAAAACTTGCCAATAAATAAATAAAATAAAATAGAACTTATGTTTAGGATTTTGAATCCTACATGATCAGTTTTTTGTTAAAACATTTTTTAGAAAAAAATATTTAAAATACATATTATTACTTAATTTTCAAACAAATAACCCTAGCCGACAAATGTCGGAATAAAATAATAGATTAATAATAATATATTTCAAATATGATTCCTATTTTCTGGGATAATGATTGCCGTAAAGGACAATAAAATTTGTTTACAAAAATTGTATTTTTCGTTCTTTACTTTACAAGTGGATGCATGGTGGTGATATTCAGAGCATTTGTATATATATATATATATATGTACATAAAATATAAAAATTGAAAAAAAAAATTTCTTAAAAATCTAAATAAAAACTTAAATGAATTTTCACTTGTAGGCCATGGTACGGGCAATATCTTCTCGTGAGAATTTTTAACTTCTAAATATTTTCGTTTTTAGGCTGACAAAGGCATGAAAATCTCTGAAATATTAACATGTTTTTTTATATTGATATAAGGAAATGTCATGGTTAAAGACAAAAAAAAATGGAAATAATTATCTTTCTATATTTCTTCATTTGTTGAAGACGTTCAAATTTTATGAATACAATCACCACCATAAACTAATTCTAGAGTCATCTTGACTCAACGCAGATAATCACTTATATAGCTTTCAGATACTATAATCAAGAGAAAAGCTAGTGTAAGATTTAGGATCTAGGAGAAGTTGGAGAATTTAGTGTCTTTCGAATTGATCTGGATTATTTAATATTTTCCTACAAAAATTTCAAGCAATAAAACTTTGTTAAAACAAAAAATTTTGTGTGTCTTTAATTTGGTCTTTGGGCCTTAAGCTATACAACCAACCCTTCTTCTATACTGATTTAGGTCAATACACATTTACTAAGGTAAAAGCTGATTTGCATTTTATTCTACTTTCAACGCTTGCATTAATACCCTGACTAGGTCACGCAGAACAGGTTTTTCACCTCTTCGCTTGATTGCATACTAAGCAAAAATTGATTGCAAAATTTAAATAAAGACGTTCTTTACACTTTCAGTCATGTATTTGTGACATGGAAGCTTATATAAAACCCATTCCAAAGGTGCTAAAATGACAGCGAAAACAAAATTCATTATACCCTGTATTAAGTTTTCCACGAAGTTTGAAACACTCAGAAAGAAACGTCGGAGACCCTATATATATCACCGATATCGGACCACTATAGCATATAGCTGCAATACAAACTGACCGAACAAAATCTAGTTTTTTATTTGACATGATATCTTCACAAAATTTTGCACAGATTATTATCCAAGACCACGCTACAATTTCTGAACATATTGTTCGGATCGGATCACTAAAGCATATAGCTGCCATACAAACTGTCCAATCAAAATTAAGATGAAGACCATTTTATGCTATAAGAAAGGCACCTGTGTAGGGAATTTTTGCTTGTTTTGATTTTGGAATAAAGAAATCTGAAGTGTAAATAAAGTATATTCGATAAATTAAATTTTAATTGGAAGAAATAAATGGAGAGATCAAAAATTTAAATAGAAATATTTATATATATATATATAGAAATGTAAATATATATAATATATATGTCTATATATATATTTTATATATTTGTACATATGTTAAATTTTTCATTGATTATGAAACATTTTCCCCGCTGAGTATTTATTAGCATGATAGCACTTACAAATGAAAATTGTATAATGGCGCACAAAAGGACTACAGAAAATTAATATTCGCCATTCGCGGCTGTTGGAAGTATCAAAGATAAACCATCGCCGCATTATTACCACACAATGCAATGATGACTTTAGGCAACATAACGGTACTTAAAAGCAGCACGGTTGGCATGTGACAGGGTATGGCAATACCAATGGCAGCGAAAATAAATTAAAGACAAAAGAACAGATTAAAAAAGTTTCAAATAAAAATGAGCGAAACAACTTTGTGTTCATATTTTGCTAAAGGCTTACGATTGCGCAAGTGTGTAGCGGAGTGCAGCGAAAATATTTTCAAAAAAGACACGTTCACATGATGGCGGCAAGAAAGCTGCAGACCAGCACGGAAACGAACGAAACGCCATGAAAGGAGAAAGCAGGAAGGAGGCGGGGCATATCAAGTCAACAACGACGAAGAAGACAATCCTAGAAAAACTGGCTAACTTTTCATAGACACACACACCAACACATACAAATATACATACATATGTTCGAGGATATGTGCGAGTAATGAGCGCACGAACAGCGCACCGACTTCCAAGCGTTGACCAAACATGTGAGTAAATGAAAATTCGTTAAAACGAAAATCCGAATTTCATAAATTCGTCAGTCGTTATGTAGTATTGCGACCGAAAATCGGCTAACGATTTTCGTTAACGGCATCAGAGGCCAAATAGAGCAATGAAGCGAATGTAGCAAGACTTGACGAACGCGACGGCCCGAAAAGTATACATACGAAGACTAACTTAGCCTGGCGGCACCAATTCGTTAGCTAACACATATACACTTAAAAAAGCACATACACAAACATATATTTATGTAGATATATAAATGGAAGTGTACGCGTTGGAGTAGTCACACTTGGAGGCGCGTAGACACTGACACAAAATGCGTGTCACTAAAGCTGTAGCGAAATTATGTATTATCCTTGCTAGGTGTTCGGCAATTGTTGGCTAGTAGGAGCAGCCACTCGAGTGTGCCGCTACACTCTTTACTCATAGTTAAATAAGACAAACTGCTTCGTTTGTGTAGCATGCTCTCGTTCGTTCACTCGCTTTGTCTCTCGTGCTATCGCTCTTTCTCTCTCTCATACTGTTGCAGGATATTCGTGCTAACGCTGAGGCGCCTGGTTCTCAAGGAAACTATTTCGAAATCGGCATAGCATATTTATTAAGTTTAATTTTACATAAATTGAATAAAATTTTGCTATAACCACACTGAAGCCACACCGTTATATAATTTTTGGTTTTTCTTGGAACTTTAGAAAATGCATAAGGCTATAATTTACGTTTTCCTCGAGCTCTCTACCCTGCAGCATAATGTGATATAACACATATATTTATTCATGGCTGTCCTTGAAAGTCCTTTTTAGTTTCCATACGAATTTAAGATTTTTTTTCTTTTTTGAAAATAAGTTTTAATTAACAAAATAGCTGCATAACTTGGCGAAAAATCGAATTTCTGTATGTATTTGAAAACTGACTTGGATATCATATTCCTTTTATACTATTTTACACACACGCACACATTTATATAAAACATACAAATGCACACACTATTTAAAAATCACACAAAACCTAGTTGTAGCCACTTTTGCAATTAAAAATTTTAATTTTGTGCACAAGTTTTTCACGCCTTTCAACCAATGTCAAAAAGTCCTTCTTCAGTCAGAAAATCCTTCACAGTTTGACTTTTTCACGTTCGATTTTTCACCAGGCTTTATGTAATTTTCACGATATAGCGTCAGGCGCGCATTATACAAGTGCGAAAGAGAAAGAGCGAGCGCCGAAGACCGAACATATAACATCCAGCAGGTCCACTTTTATGAAAATTTTCACAAAGTTTTTAGTCTTTTCTTAAAAAACAGAAACTGCACAATTTCACTAAAAATGTTTTTTTATATATCTGTATTCGCACGCACCCACACACACACACTGATAATAGTATAAGTATGTATTTTGCAGAAGCCTTTTTTGTTGTATATTTAATCCGCACTATACGACGAGTCAAGGAGCTACCGTTCACAGTTAAAACGCCAATGGTAGTGTCTTCGCTGCAACTGACCGAGACGACTTATCGTACGCTTGCTCTAAGCTATGGCAAACGGCACCGAACACTCTATATTATCGCTGCGCTGCTTTGCGCTATGCTTCGGCTGGAAGTAGTCGCTAGAAATGTGCTAAAAGTATAGACGCAGCAGAGAGTGAGTAATGTAATAGATTGTTTGTGAAACGAAAGCTCTTGCATAAAGCTTTCAACTAGAGCAGACTCTGGTGGCAAATTCCAAATGAATATTACCATATGTGCTTAAAGTTTTTGCAGTAGTAAGTAAAGGTAGTTTAGAGGTAGGTAAGAATATTAGAATGTGATGAAAATTTGTTTAGCTGAGCTCAGAAAATCCAATGTCGACAACGGGAAATAAACCGTTTTTGTTGCTTTTGTTCTTATGTTTTTGAACAGACTGTTTCGGGCTCAAAGTAACAAAAAACGACGCAAGTACTCGGTGCGTCTGG